TGCAATCATGAAAGTGTTATTGTTGGGGGAAAGACGTGTTATTCTTCCTGTAATCATTAAAGAGTTACTGTTGGGGGAAAGACGTGTTATTCTTCCTGCAATCATTAAAGTGTTATTGTTGGGGGAAAGACGTGTTACTCATCCTGCAATCATTAAAGAGTTACTGTTGGGGGAAAGACGTGTTATTCTGCCTGCAATCTTTAAAGTGTTAATAATGGAGTAAAGACGTGTTATTCATCCTGCAATTTTTTAGGGGTATTTTTCCGGGGAAGACGTCTGATTCTTCTTGCAGTCTTTAAAGTGTTATTGTTTTGGGAAAGACGTGTTATTCATGCTGCAATCTTTAAAGTGTTATTGTTGGGGTGGAATTCGTAATATTCTTCCTGCAATCTTTAAAGTTTTATTTTTGGGTGGAAAACGTATTATTCTTCCTGGAATATTTAAAGTGTTGTTGTTGGGGGGAAGACGTATTATTCTTCCTGGAATATTTAAAGTGTTATTGTTGGGGAAAAGACGTTTTATTCATCCTGCAATCATGAAAGTGTTATTGTTGGGGGTAAGACGTGTTATTCTTCCTGTAATCATTAAAGAGTTACTGTTGGGGGAAAGACGTGTTATTCTTCCTGCAATCATTAAAGTGTTATTGTTGGGGGAAAGACGTGTTATTCTTCCTGCAATTTTTAAAGTGGTATTTTTCGGGGAAAGACGTCTGATTCTTTTTGCAGTCTTTAAAGTGTTATTGTTTTGGGAAAGACGTGTTATTCATGCTGCAGCCTTTAAAGTGTTATTGTTTGGGTGGAATTCGTATTATTCTTCCTGCAATCTTTAAAGTGTTATTTTTGGGTGGAAAACGTATTATTAACCTTGCAATAATAAAAGTGTTATTGTTAGGGGAAAAGATGTGTCATTCTTCCTGAAATCTTTAAAGTGTTATTCTTGAGGGGAAGATGTGTTATTCTTCCTGCAACCTTGAAAGTGTTATTATTGAGGGGAAGATGTGTATTTCTTCCTGCAATCATTGAAGTGTTTGGTAAATACCTTTGCATAACCCTGCTCTGTTCAGATTGTATTGTCATTTGAAAATTGCAAAGCAAGATATTCTCTATTTCCAATGTAAATGCCATTAATTTTTGGTTTATTTTGAAGCATAATTGCTAGTTTGCGCTACACTAGAAGAACATTTATCATAAAGTATTTACATCCTGTGGGTAGCTGAGTATTTTTCAAGGCAAAGCCATTTACTAAAACACTTGATGTTCTATTTTTATGGGGGCACGTGTGGCCCCGTCGTCTAAGGTGCCGCGATTCGCTGTGCAGAGTTGCGTCCCTTGGGCACGCCAGAAACCTATGATTGTGGGTTCGAATACCGGTTCGCCCCGATTATGTTTCTAGGTTTGTCAGCACCATACCCGTGCTCATGGGTTTCACCGAAGTGGTAAACGTCTCAGACCTGTATCCCATCGGACTTTCCTTCCACATTAAGCTGACACACCGTGATATAACTGGAATACTGTTAAAAGCGGCGTTAAACCCAACTCACTCACTCTATTTTTATGAAACTTTTATACTATCTTTCCTTCACGGATCTCATCAATACATATTATAACTGTTCACATAAGGACTAATATTTCTGACATCGTAGTTACTTTGTTTTTATTTTGTCACACATACGCCACTTCGTCTTAAGTGGGTCGACCAACACATCTTCATATAATCTCATGGACGACAAACACATCTACATATTATCCCATGGACGAGCAACACATCTACATATAATCGCATGGAAGACCAACACATCTACATATAATCTCATGGACGACCAACACATCTACATATAATCGCATGAACGACCAACACATCTACATATAATCGCATGGACGAGCAACACATCTACATATGATTTCGTCGACGAACAACACCTCTACATATAATCGCATGGAAGACCAACACATCTACATATAATCGCATGGACGAGCAACACATCTACATATGATTTCGTCGACGAACAACACCTCTACATATAATCGCATGGAAGACCAACACATCTACATATAATCGCATGGACGACCAACACATCTACATATAATCGCATGGACGACCAACACATCTACATATAATCGCATGGACGACCAACACATCTACATATAATCGCATGGACGACCAACACATCTACATATAATCCCATGGACGACCAACACATCTACATATAATCCCATGGAAGACCAACACATCTACATATAATCCCATGGACGACCAACATATCTACATATAATCGCATGGACGACCAACACATCTACATATAATCTCATGGACGACCAACACATCTACATATAATCTCATGGACGGCCAACACATCTACATATAATCGCATGAACGACCAACACATCTACATATAATCCCATGGACGACCAACACATCTACATATATAATCCAATGGGCGACCAACACATCAACATATAATCGCATGGACGACCAACACATCTATATATAATCTCATGGACGACCAACACATCTACATATAATCTCATGGACGGCCATCACATCTACATATAATCGCATGAACGACCAACACATCTACATATAATCTCATGGACGGCCAACACATCTACATATAATCGCGTGGAAGACCAACACATCTACATATAATCCCATGGACGACCAACACATCTACATATAATCGCATGGACGACCAACACATCTACATATAATCGCATGGACGACCAACACATCTACATATAATCGCATGGACGACCAACACATCTACATATAATCCCATGGAAGACCAACACATCTACATATAATCCCATGGACGACCAACATATCTACATATAATCGCATGGACGACCAACACATCTACATATAATCTCATGGACGACCAACACATCTACATATAATCTCATGGACGGCCAACACATCTACATATAATCGCATGAACGACCAACACATCTACATATAATCCCATGGACGACCAACACATCTACATATATAATCCAATGGGCGACCAACACATCTACATATAATCGCATGGACGACCAACACATCTACATATAATCGCATGGACGACCAACACATCTACATATAATCGCATGGACGACCAACACATCTACATATAATCGCATGAACGACCAACACATCTACATATAATCCCATGGACGACCAACACATCTACATATATAATCCAATGGGCGACCAACACATCTACATATAATCGCATGGACGACCAACACATCTACATATAATCGCATGGACGACCAACACATCTACATATAATCGCATGGACGACCAACACATCTACATATACTCTCATGGACGACCAACACATCTACATATGATTTCGTCGACGACCAACGTATCTACATATAATCGCATGGACGACCAACACATCTACATATAATTGTATGGACGAGCAACACATCTACATATGATTTCGTCGACGAACAACACCTCTACATATAATCTCATGGACGACCAACACATCTACATATAATCGCATGGACGACCAACACATCTACATATAATCCCATGGACGACCAACACGTCTACATATAATCGCATGGACGACCAACACATCTACATATAATCCTATTGACGACCAACACATCTACATATAATCGCATGGACGACCAAAACATCTACATATAATCGCATGGACGACCAACACATCTACATATAATCGCATGGACGACCAACACATCTACATATAATCTCATGGACGACCAACACATCTACATATAATCTCATGGACGACCAACACATCTACATTTAATCGCATGGACGACCAACACATCTACATATAATCTCATGGACGACCAACACATCTACATATGATTTCGTCGACGACCAACATATCTACATATAATCGCATGGACGACCAATACATCTACATATAATCTCATGGACGACCAATACATCTACATATAATCTCATGGACGACCAACACATCTACATATAATCGCATGGACGACCAACACATCTACATATAATCGCATGGACGACCAACACATCTACATATAATCTCATGGACGACCAACACATCTACATATGATTTCGTCGACGAACAACACCTCTACATATAATCGCATGGACGACCAACACATCTACATATAATTGTATGGACGAGCAACACATCTACATATGATTTCGTCGACGAACAACACCTCTACATATAATCTCATGGACGACCAACACATCTACATATAATCGCATGGACGACCAACACATCTACATATAATCCCATGGACGACCAACACATCTACATATAATCTCATGGACGACCAACACATCTACATATAATCCTATTGACGACCAACACATCTACATATAATCTCATGGACGACCAACACATCTACATATAATCCCATGGACGACCAACACATCTACATATAATCTCATGGACGACCAACACATCTACATATAATCGCATGGACGACCAACACATCTACATATAATCGCATGGACGACCAACACGTCTACATATAATCTCATGGACGACCAACACATCTACATATAATCTCATGGACAGTGATTTTGATCAGTGGATTCTTTACACATAAATCAGATACTCGTTTTACACGTACTGGATAGAAATTCGGAATCAATGGTAGATCGGTATAAGTTATGGTCAATGGTTTATCGAATACCGGTGGCGTTAAATATCCAGTAATGTTGTTTATCACAGATTGACAATTAATCCTTTCCCAAGCGGCTACTGTTTGTCGCGTTTCTTCCGCCCAATCAACTTATTAGCTCACCTCAACTCACAGTTCAGGTGGGCTTATTCTGTCGACGTCCGTCTGTCCGTCGCAAACCCTCTGATTCTCAACATCTGTAACTCGTGTACCAGTGTGTTATTTAATGTACATGTAGAGATGATCATGATATTTGTTGTGGTCAAACTTCTGTTGCCAATTTTTCATATTGATGTTTGACGTTGTATGACCTTTCTGAGATCATACCTCGGACACGCCCAATTTTTCCATATACGACATAAGTATGTTGAAAAGTTTTATTGTACAGGTTGATCAGTGAAAGGACTATTTGCGTCGTACACAAGCTGAACAGATGGACAACAAATATACACATTACATATGAAACAACACCTTGCTAAATGACTGATGCTATAATTACAGTGATGGGTGAAAATGAAATTTTCAATATGGCGCTACTGAAAGATCAACCACAAGGTATTGTGATCATTGACATCCAAGTTGACGTAGTCATGTGCATGAATCTACAAAACCGTCGTATGGAAATAAATTATCTAAAAGTTGAAAAATAACAGTAGGTATACGTATAGAGTAAGCACATATTTGTCAGACACGTGACATACTGCACGGCGTGGATCGTTGCTCAAATATAAATTCCTGGACTGTCGGTCCAGACTCGATTTTTTACAGACCATGGTCATACATGTATAACAAGTGTTATATTTGGGACATAACCGTCATAGAGCTTTAATCTTGCTGAGTGCGACATTAGAAATACAAACAAAAACATTCTTATCAGAACAAGGAATTACTTGTCTATTTTGGAGTGTGGCTTTAAACAGCAAACGAAAAAACCACAAAAAATGTCTTACTATATGCAAAGTGGTATGTGCGCATGCGCATGCGTGCGTGCGTGCGTGCGTGGATCTTTAAATGTAATAAGTATATAAGTATTGATGGCACTATTTGTATGAATAATTACATGCGTTATATATGTATATGTACTAACGGAAACAAGTAACTGTGTTTCATAATAAGTTCAATACCAATTAAACAATGCATCTATCAATACATATTCATGAACACGTCACCTAGATTTTAAGGTCGTGATTCACATTTTTAACATGCATGTTCATGTACGGCGCACAATTTGAATATTTGCGTGTTTGTCGGGAGCATGATACTCACACACGTGTTTTTTTCAAAGTGAACAGCACACGATGATTATTTAGCTATCAGATGCTCATAAAAAAATCAACGTCTACGCGCCGTAGGTATGCTTCAAACAGGAATGGCGGAAAACGAAACTGCCAGACACGAACGAAACACAATATCATCTCTTTTGGGACGTTACCGGCAGCAGGGCTTGCAACGGGACGGTCGTCCTAGTGTGATGTCACGTCAAGAGAACCATATTCGGTGGGTGCATATACGGCATCGATACCAAACTGCCACGTTAGCAGTTCGAACAATGCCTGGGTTGAGACCAATCAGTGGCAGAACCGTACGCAACCAGTTGAGGTAGCACAACATCCGGCCCCGACCTCTAGTGGTACGCCCAATTTTGCTTCCGCGTCACCGTCAGGCACACTAGCTTGGTGTTAACAGCATCTGAGGTTCAGAAGACAAGACTGAGACAGTATACCGTTCACAGATGAGTCCAGGTTTCATCTTGACAGTTGTGATGGTTGTGCAAGGATGTACAGGTGTCCATGAGAACGCTTGCGTTACTCAACGTCTTCAGTATGATGGTGGAAGTGTAATGGTATTGACCGGCATCACTACTCATGGGAGAACACAACTAATCATTGCTAATGGCAGTTGGAATGGCGTACGCTAACGGGACGCCGTCGTTCGACCTTTTGTGCAAATGCAGAAACGTACCGTCACGTTGCAGCAGGAAAGTGCCTACCCACATGTTGCACGTGTTGAACAGCCTTTTTGACACAGCTTAACATTGCTGTACTGCCATGGCTGCCTGTTTCTCACGACGTTTTCCTAATAGAACATATCCGGGATGAGAAGTGGAGCGACGCCTACGACAGGACCAAAACCAGCCGGTAGCGCTAGCTCAATTGGACCAACCTTTGTTTGACAGTTGGAACAACATCCTCCAGGGTCTTTTCAATCATCTGGTATCACCGCTCCCTCGCCTGTATCAACGCAAATGGTGATCACACCCTATATTGACATTGTTAGTTAAGTTGTTAGGACACCCTTCCTTTAGGACGTGTATCTCCGTCTCCTGTGACCAGGTTTGGGTTTTTTCAATGAATGTGTTATGATAAAACATTGATCAGACGAATGACCACTTGATATGAAGCACAGTTATTTTATTCCGATGGTATATACAGTATGAGAGGCTGCACATGACGTGTTGGAACTGGTAGATCTACCAGAAGAGAAAAGAGGAAGAGAAAGGTATACTTGACTTGACAGACATTGAATAGGTTCAGTGTGAGCAATGTTATTCACCAATGTTTGGTGTTCGTATCTTTGTTGTCATTTAATTAGCATGTGTTGTGTATTAGGATTTTAGGGCACTCAACAAAGAGGGGCACCGCCTATGTAGATCCAATGGAGATAGTGATTATTACCTACTGTCGGCGTTGTCTGTTTATGTTCATGTTGCTTGTTTGCTTATCCCAACGCTACAATTGTCTTTCAGCGTCTTAAATAAAGACAGAAGATCTCTATACAAAGATCCCGCATCCAACACAAATATCCCAACAAACAGACTTAAGATGACAGCTATGCCAACATATCCCATACTGACTGCTGATTGCCGATGATCTGGCGCACTGGTTTTCTTTCTGATGGCTTGGGACACTGTGTCCTTGTCTACAGTCAGCTCTTTCTTGATGCTCTCAACGACCCGTGTAAGACTCTCCGAGGCGATGTCAGTCTTCCAGGGGGAGCACTTGCAAGTACATCGCTCCTCTATAGTTTGTTGGGGCTGACTTACAAAAGGGGTTGATGCTGTCAGTGCAGTATTAGCTTCAGATGATTCTTGTGTTTCTGTAGAGCTGAGAATGATGCTTGACGTATCTATTTGTGCTGAAGCATCTGAAAGAAAGGTGGGTGGCGATGTTAACATTGATACGTCTACACTAGAAGTTTTATGGTGTACAGGGGACTCGCTGGGAGAACTACCAAGAGAGGAGATGGGCGGCACCATGTCGATAGAGGTGGTTGACGGATATATGAAGGAGGATAATACCAAATGTTCTAAAGAGGAAGCAGATGGGTTCACGAAGGTGGCTGTTGCAATACCTTCGGAGGAAGTGGACGATACCAAATGCTCTACAGAGGAAGCAGGCGGGTTCACGAAGGTGGCTGTTGCAATACCTTCGGAGGGAGTGGACGATACCAAATGCTCTACAGAGGAAGCAGGCGGGTTCACGAAGGTGGGTGTGGCAATACCTTCGGAGGAAGTGGACGATACCAAATGCTCTACAGAGGAAGTAGGCGGGTTCACGAAGGTGGGTGTGGCAATACCTTCGGAGGAAGTGGACGATACCAAATGCTCTACAGAGGAAGCAGGCGGGTTCACGAAGGTGGGTGTGGCAATACCTTCGGAGGAAGTGGACGATACCAAATGCTCTACAGAGGAAGCAGGCGGGTTCACGAAGGTGGTTGTGGCTATATCTTCGGAGGTGGATTGTATTACGGGTTCAGATGAATACTCTGAAAGAAAAATTTAAATAGTATAAGGTATGTTTTATGATGCTCGGGGGAGTAGTGTCAAATACAAAACTCGTAGTTAATGTTTTCATAACACAGATTATCCACATTAACATAATATGTTAAACAATGTTCACAATTCATCAAACAAATAATTAATTACGGAATTTGTAGTGTGTTTATTAAAGACGTACAGACAATTCACATGATGGTCAAATTTTTCATTAATGTTGTTAATATGACGATTTAGTATGTCATCTATATTCCCTTGGCCACGCCCAGAAACCTTTGCTTGCGGAACTGAATCCCAGTTCACCCTGAGTATGTTTCTAGATTTCTCAGCACTATACCCGTGCTTCTGGGTTTCACCAAAGTAGTAAACGTCTGAGATCTGCATCAAATCGGGCTTTCCTGTCACATCAAGCTGACTAGCCGTTATGTGGAATACACACGTTAACTGGAATACACGAAACACTCAGTCACTCCTTGTGAAGTGACATTCACAAGTACCCAGAATAATTCCCTAGTTCGATACTTAATGTACCTTCATAACATGTACCCAGAATAGTTCCTTAGTTCGATACTTCATGTACCTTCACAACATGTACCCACTTTAGTTCCCTAGTTCGATACTTTGTGTTCCTTCATAACATGTACCCAGTATAGTTCCCTAGTTCGATACTTTATGTACCTTCATAACATGTACCCAGTATAGTTCCCTAGTTCAATACTTCCTGTACATTAGTTCGATACTTCATGGACCTTCACAACATGTACCCGCCATAGTTCACTACTTCGATACTTTATGTACCTTCACAACATGTACCCAGCATAGTTCCCTTGTTTGATACTTCATGTACCTTCACAACATGTACCCACTCTAGTTCCCTAGTTCAATACTTCATGTACCTTCACAACATGTACCCAGCATAGTTCCCTTGTTTGATACTTCATGTACCTTCACAACATGTACCCACTCTAGTTCCCTAGTTCGATACTTCATGTACCTTCACAACATGTACCCAGCATAGTTCCCTTGTTTGATACTTCATGTACCTTCACAACATGTACCCAGCATAGTTCCCTTGTTTGATACTTCATGTACCTTCACAACATGTACCCAGCATAGTTCCCTTGTTTGATACTTCATGTACCGTCATAACAAGTACCATCTATAGTTTCCTTTGTGGCAGGGGTGGGGCATTGTCACTTTTTTACACTTTTATCATGATAACCTCATTCAATATACTTTATATAGGACGAAGTTATAAATATTTAGTTTTTTAGCTGATCGGAACTTGTCAAGCGAAAATGAAGTAGGTTGTAGGTGCTTATCGCGAGGATTGTGCTGACAAACCAATCAACACAATGTCTACGATTCTTTGATTCTAACCCATGGTGAGCGAAACCTGTCACAGCAAAGGCGTCAAGCTTGCCCAGTGTTAAAATGCTGGCTAAGAAATGTGTATGGGTGCTTCCTCACAGGGTTCTCACCTTCCGTACTAGTCACTGTGTGGTCAACAGGTGCCCCAGTTATGGCGGACGCTTGCATTGTCGATGATGATGCTGGAAAGTAATTATTGGAAACACAGTTTGATTTAATAACTTCATTCCTCTAAATGCTTCTCTTAAATAGAGACAAACATTTCATAAATGAAACTTTTCTTGTACTGAATCGCCATGTAATTTGTGGGTTTCACATCACGACCAAGTCACACATGAACCACAAAGCTAAGACGTTTAACAATCTGTTTTGTAGTTTTTAGCCCACACGTGCTACCTGTGAAATAACACCCAATTCCACAGGGAACGGCTCTTTGCAAAGTAAATTGTATCAGCGTTAGCCAGGTCCACTATTTATGTAGCAATTGTTTGTGGTATACATGTATTCGCATGGCTGAAGGAACTATATATTCATGGTGCTGTGATAGTACAAGCCTACACACATCATAACTTTTGACTGGTGCTAGGTATGTAGAAATGTAAGTACCACATGCAGTGTTGCAGTTAAAGATTAACATAGACATACACAACACATACCAACAGCTGCCTCCTTACAGTCCTCGTCAAACATGCCATCATAGTCCCCATCTGCAGGTAGAAACTCATGTAGGAATTACACTTTCAAATACCAAACAACATTCAAAATGATACCCATTTTCAAAGACGCGTCAAAGTGGTTATGATTCGAGTACGAAGTCAAAGAAAGGGAACATTGCAAGTACATATTTCTCATAGTGTTTTGTGATACACATACCAGGATAGCTAGTTACTTGTATAAACTATACCTTGCACATTGTGTTAGATTGTAACATTTATGTTGTTTTCACCTGGTCTGTGTTACCGCATCATTGTTGTTTCCTTACTGTAACAATTAGTCGATGCTATATCAACTTGTCAGTGTTACGGCATTATCGCTGTTTCCCTTAGTTACTACATCAAGTAGACTGTGTTACGGCATTATCGTTGTTTCCTTACTACATCAAGTAGACTGTGTTACAGCATTATCGTTGTTTCCTTACTACATCAACTAGACTGTGTTACGGCATTATCGTTGTTTCCTTACTACATCAACTAGACTGTGTTACAGCATTATCGTTGTTTCCTTACTACATCAAGTAGACTGTGTTACAGCATTATCGTTGTTTCCTTACTACATCAACTAGTCTGTGTAACGGCATTATCGTTGTTTCCTTACTACATCAACTAGACTGTGCTCAAGCATTATCGTTATTTCCTTACTACATCAACTAATCAGTGTTACGGCATTATCATTGTTTCCTTACTACATCAATTATTCAGTGTTACGGCATTATCGTTGTTTCCTTTAGTAACTACATCAACTAGACTGTGTTACGGCATTATCGTTGTTTCCTTACTACATCAACAAGACTGTGTTACGGCATTATCGTTGTTTCCTTACTACATCAACTAGACTGTGTTACGGAATTATCGTTGTTTCCTTACTACATCAACTAGACTGTGTTACGGCATTATCGTTGTTTCCTTACTACATCAACTAGACTGTGTTACGGCATTATCGTTGTTTCCTTACTACATCAAGTAGACTGTGTGACGGCATAATCGCTGTTTCCTTACTACATCAACTAATCAGTGTTATGGCATTATCGCTGTTTCCCTGAGTTACTACACCAACTAGACTGTGTTACAGCATTATCTCTGTTTCCTTTAGTCACTAGATCAACTAGTCAGTGTTACGGCATTATCGCTATTTTCTTACGAAATAAATTAGACTGTTTTACGGCATTATTGTTGTTTCCTTACTATATCAACTAGTGAGTGTTATAGCATTATCGCTGTTTCCTTTAGTTACTACATCAACTGGTCAGTGTTACTGACATCAACTAGTCAGTGTTACGCCATTATCGCTGTTTCCCTTAGTTACTACATCAACTAGTCAGTGTTACGGCATTATCGTTGTTTCCTTTAGTTACTACATCAAGTAGACTGTGTTATGGCATTATCGCTGTTTCCTTACTACATCAAGTAGACTGTGTTACGGCATTATCGTTGTTTCCTTTAGTTACTACATCAAGTAGACTGTGTTACGCCATTATCGCTGTTTCCCTTAGTTACTACATCAACTAGTCAGTGTTACGGCATTATCGCTGTTTCCCTTAGTTACTGCATCACCTAGACTGTGTTATGGCATTATCGTTGTTTCCTTTAGTTACTACATCAAGTAGACTGTGTTACGCCATTATCGCTGTTTCCCTTAGTTACTACATCAAGTAGACTGTGTTATGGCATTATCGCTGTTTCCCTAAGTTACTACATCAAGTAGACTGTGTTACGGCATTATCGCTGTTTCGCTTAGTCACTAGATCAACTAGTCAGTGTTACGGCATTATCATTGTGTCCTTACTACATCAACTAGACTGTGTTACAGCATTATCGTTGTTTCCTTACTACATCAACTAGACTGTGTTACGGCATTATCGTTGTTTCCTTACTACATCAACTAGACTGTGTTACACCATTATCGTTGTTTCTCTTTAGTAACTACATCAACTAGACTGTGTTACAGCATTATCGTTGTTTCCTTACTACATCAACTAGACTGTGTTACAGCATTATCGTTGTTTCTTTATATATCAAGTAGACTGTGTTACAGCATTATCGTTGTTTCCTTAAGTAACTACATCAACTAGACTGTTTTACGGCATTATCGTTGTTTCCTTACTACATCAACTAGACTGTGTTACGGGATTATCGTTGTTTCATTTAGTTACTACATCAACTGGTCAGTGTTACTGACATTAACTAGTCCGTGTTACGACATTATCGCTGTTTCATTTAGTTAGTACAGTGACTAGTTAGTAATAACATATTATCGTTTTTTTAGGGGCGGTCGGGTAGCCTAGTGGTTAAAGCGCTCGCTCGTCACGCCGAAGACCCGGCTTCGAATCCCGACATGAGTACAATGTGTGAAGCCCATTTCTGGTGTCCCCCGCCGTGATATTGCTGGAATATTGCTAAGAGCGACGTAAAACCAAACTCACTCACTCACTATTATCGTTTTTACCTTACTACAGCAACTAGTCACTGTTACCACATGATTGTTGTTTCCTTACTGTAAGGGTTAGACGATGCTCCCGGATTATCACTGTAAGTTTAGTAAAGGGCTGCATGTGTACATTTTGCTGCCCGAGACATTTTAACGCTATCATTCACACATGACCTATTGTTACTGTGACAACTCGCGCATACCGTCTGAGATGCCAATGGTGCAGTTCTCCTCATCAATCAATCCGTCACAGTCGTTGTCGATGTTGTCTCCAGGAACTGATGGCGTCAATACACACGGCTGAAAAGAAGATAACAGTTTCTGCATACAATAATGATGGTCATAGTAATTAGGCAGGTAACAGGTGTATTGAATGTAGTCAGACATTGCAACGTTCAGAAACTTCCCAGCCTTGTTTTGGTCTTCATGGTGAATGATTCAGATGAACAGTTAATTTATTAAACTTATGCCAAACAACATTCAGACTAGTTTGGGCGGTTTTTTTACCGTTGGCCTACACATCTGAGATCTGATTTTGTTGCTGGGGGGCAGTGTTGGCGGCCAACAGTGGCTGACATAATTATGAGAAGCAAGTTATCTCTGTAAATGAAAACAGTCTTTAGGATAAGATTTTCCAATAGAGTATCAATATCTTTGATGGAATTGCATTCATGCTGTGTCGTCGACAATAGCACACATGCACTACCTCGTCGAGAAACAGACATGGACCTTACAGAGAAATACCTGGTTGATTGCATCAAGTCTAAAGGCCAGCGGGAAGGAAAATGTCCCGGGTGCGAATAGAGCCATTCTGGTGGCAATGTGTCCACCAATGATAGACTCAGCTGATCCAGTAATATTATTTGTGACTCCTTTGTCAAACGTCGCAGAGGATGTGGCTAACATCATAGTTCCGGGTAGATTTTCCCAGTTCATAAAAACATTGTCGTTATAGAAGATATTGAAAGTATCTGACTGGTTGGCGATAACCAGGAGGTTTATTGTATCAACATTTGTTGGAGGTATAAACACATGGTCTTCGTTAGAGTATTGTTCAACTGGAATGACTAGCACCATCCCTCCGTCAATCGTAATGCTATATTCAACCATCAATTGCATAACCATGATTGGTTTGTCACTTTCTATCGTGCCTTTGTCCAGCAGCATAATGTCCTGGAACATCCCTTCAAATATTAAGAAATAAGGAGTGGAAGTTCCATTCATGTTGAAAGTAACCAGGGTGTTGTCCTGTGAAGCAATGATTCTGATGTGATCTCTACACGTGGCACAGACACTCAGCCGACCAGGTGTTTGGACAACTGCAGCTAAACGCCCAAGTGTTTGAAGAGGCATTAATTGTTCAATGACCATGTCTTTATTGGAACGTCCCATCACCCTGGTAAACTGACCCCCTGTAATGACGGCTACTGGCTTGGTTGCTGTAATCTTAGACCCCGTCATGTCAACTGCACTCAGTACCTGAGCGGATTCGTACATAGCCAGACTAATAATAATAGTCTCCCCGTGCACATATTCAGCTCCATCATAGGTGACCACGTGACTTTTGTTCACAAGCTTAAGTAGAACTGTCACGACAGTGTCTGGATGAGCAGCAGAGATGTCAATGAAACACATGTTGTCTTCACAATAAGTCGCAGCAATGTACTCTCTACCAAGCCCGTCTATGGGCAGAGCTCTGAAAGCTCCCCCAGAGTAATCCGGTGATGGATCAGCCGACAGAATCATAAGTGATACTTCTTCCGATGCTTCTAGTAGCAGGGTGTTATTGGAAGAACTTGATCCGTTCACTTGAAAGGAATACGGGACGTCAAAGCTGTGGCTTGTCCCTGCAACACAACACCACTGGTGACACAGGGTATAACGAATATTGACAACGAATACAGACACACTGAAATGCTGAAAGCCAGGACTAAACCTCGAGCTCTGGCAACACATGACGTTTTTCCTTTGGCCTGAACTTTTCTGAAAAAAGGAAAAAGGAAATAGAACCAATACAAGATAACTAACATTATCATAATATATATCGTTTTAACATGTAGATATCTTTATTTAAACACATAATCTTCCACACAATTGTTCGCACCGACATATGCAGCCCCATGTACTGCCAGTCCCAACTGCCCCGGGTGTAGCACATGACAACTCGCCTGGCCCGTGTGTAGCACATGACATCTCACCTGGCCGGGTGTAACACATGACAACTCACCTGACCCGGGTGTAACACAAGACAACTCCGTGGCCCGGGTGTAGCACATGACAACTCGCCTGGCCCGGGTGTAGCACGTGAGTACTCACCTATCCGGGGTGTAGACGGTGACAACTCCCCTGACCCGGGTGTAGCACATGACAACTCACCTGACCGAGTTGTAGCACATGACAACTCACCTGAGATAGTGTAGCACATGACAACTCACCTCACCCGGGTGTAACATATGACAACTCACCTGACCCGTTTGTAACACATCACAACTCACCTGCCCCGGGTGTAGCACATGACAACTCACCTGACAGGGTTTAACACATGACAACTCATCTCATCCGGGTGTAGCACATGACAACTAGCCTGGAAGAGTGTTACACGTAACAACTCACCTCAACTGCGTGTAACACATGACAACTCACCTGACCGGGTTTTAGCACATGACAACTCCCCTGGCCCGGTCGTAGCACATGACAACTTCCCTGACCCGGGTGTAGCACATGACAACTCACCTGACAGAGTGTAGCACATGACAACTCACCTGACAGGGTGTAGCACATGACAACTCATCTCATCTGGGTGTAGCACATGACAACTAGCCTGGAAGAGTGTTACACGTAACAACTCACCTCAACCGGGTGTAACACATGACAACTCACCTGACCGGGTTTTAGCACATGACAACTCCCCTGGCCCGGTCGTAGCACATGACAACTTCCCTGACCCGGGTGTAGCACATGACAACCAACCTAACAGGGTGTAGCACATGACAACTCACCTCACCCGGGTGTAACATATGACAACTCGCCTGACCCGTGTGTAACACAACACATCTCACCTGCCCCTGGTGTAGCACATGACAACTCACCTGACCGGATTGTAGCACATGACAACTCACCTAGTCCGGGTGTAGCACATGACAACTCACCTGACCCGTGTGTAACACATGACAACTCACCTGACAGGGTGTAGCACATGACAACCCACCTCACAGGGTTTAGCACATGACAAGTCACCTCACCCGGGTGTCACATATGACAACTCGCCTGACCCGTGTGTAACACATCACAACTCACCTTGCCCGGGTGTAGCACATGACAACCCACCTAACATGGTGTAGCACATGACAACTCACCTGACAGAGTGTAGCACATGACAACTCACCTCACGCGGGTGTAACATATGACAACTCGCCTGACCGGTGTGTAACACAACACATCTCACCTGGCCCGGGTGTAGCACATGACAACTCACCTGACAGAGTGTAGTACGTGACAACTCACCTGCCCCGGGTGAAGCACATGACAACTCACCTCACCCGGGTGTAACATATGACAACTGACCTCACCCGGGTGTAACATATGACAACTCGCCTGACCCGTGTGTAACACAACACATCTCACCTGGCCCGGGTGTAGCACATGCCAACTCACCTGACAGAGTGAAGCACGTGACAACTCACCTGCTCGGGTGAAGCACATGACAACTCACCTGACAGAGTGTAGCACATGACAACTCACCTGACAGAGTGTAGCTCATGACAACTCACCTCACCCGGGTGTAGCACATGACAACTCACCTCACCCGTGTGTAACACATCACAAATCACCTGGCCCGGGTGTAGCACATGACAACTGACCTGACAGATTAGCACGTGACGACTCAACTGGCCCGGATGTAGCACGTGACAACTCACCTCACCCGTGTGTAACATATGACAACTCACCTGGAAGAGTGTAGCACGTAACAACTCACCTGACCGGGTTGAAGCACATGAGGACTCACCTCACCCGGGTGTAGCACATGACAACTCACCTCACCCGTGTGTAACACATCACAAATCACCTGGCCCGGGTGTAGCATATGACAACTGACCTGACAGATTAGCACATGACGACTCAACTGGCCCGGATGTAGCACATGACAACTCACCTCACCCGTGTGTAATATATGACAACTCACCTAACAGAGTGTAGCACGTGACAGCTCACCTGCCCCAGGTGTAGCACATGACAATTCACCTCACCCGGTGTAGCACATAACAACTCACCTCACCCGGATGTAACACATCACAACTCACCTAGCCCGGGTGTAGCGCATGACAACTCACCTGACAGAGTGTAGCACGTGACAACTCACCTGCCCCGGGTGTAGCACATGACAACTCCCCTGGCCGAGTTGTAGCACATGACAACTCACCTGGCCCGGTCGTAGCACATGACAACTTCCCTGACCCGGGTGTAGCACATGACAACCCACCTAACATGGTGTAGCACATGACAACTCACCTGACAGAGTGTAGCACATGACAACTCACCTCACCCGGGTGTAACATATGACAACTCGCCTGACCGGTGTGTAACACAACACATCTCACCTGGCCCGGGTGTAGCACATGACAACTCACCTGACAGAGTGTAGTACGTGACAACTCACCTGCCCCGGGTGAAGCACATGACAACTCACCTCACCCGGGTGTAACATATGACAACTGACCTCACCCGGGTGTAACATATGACAACTCGCCTAACCCGTGTGTAACACAACACATCTCACCTGGCCCGGGTGTAGCACATGCCAACTCACCTGACAGAGTGAAGCACGTGACAACTCACCTGCTCGGGTGAAGCACATGACAACTCACCTCACCCGGGTGTAACATATGACAACTCGCCTGACCTGGGTGTAACACATAACAACTCACCTGACCTGTGTAGCACATGACAACTCGCCTGGCCCGGGTGTAGCACATGACAACTCACCTGACAGGGTGTAGCACATGACAACTCACCTGGAAGAGCATTGCATGTAACAACTCACCTCACCCGGATGTAACACTTGACAACCCACCTAACATGGTGTAGCACATGACAACTCACCTGACAGAGTGTAGCACATGACAACTCACCTCACCCGGGTGTAACATATGACAACTCGCCTGACCTGTGTAGCACATGACAACTCGCCTGGCCCGGGTGTAGCACATGACAACTCACCTGACAGGGTGTAGCACATGACAACTCACCTGGAAGAGCATTGCATGTAACAACTCACCTCACCCGGATGTAACACTTGACAACTCATCTGACCGGGTTGTAGCACATGACAACTTACCTCACCCGGTTGTAACACATCACAACTCACCTGCCCCTGGTGAAGCAGATGACAACTCACCTGACAGGGTGTAGCAAATGACAACTCACCTGGAAGAGTGTAGCCTGTAGCAACTCACCTCACCCGGGTGTAACATATGACAACTCACTTAGCCCGGGTTGTAGCACATGACAACTCGACTGATCCGTGTGTAACACATCACAACTCACCTGGCCCGGGTGTAGAACATGACAACTCACCTGACAGAGTGTAGCACGTGACAACTCACCTGACAGGGTGTAACACATGACAACTCACCGGGAAGAGTGTAGCACATAATAACAACTTAGCTCACCCGGATGTAAGACATGACAACTCACCTGACCAGGTTGTAGCACATGACAACTCACTTAGCCCGGGTGTAGCACATGACAACTCGCCTGACCTGGGTGTAACACATCACAACTCACCTGGCCCGGGTGTAGCACATGACAACTCACCTAACAGAGTGTAGCACGTGTTAACTCACCTGCCACGGGTGTTGCACATGACAACTCACCTCACCCGGATGTAACATATGACAACTCGCCTGACCTGGGTGTAACACATGACAACTCACCTGGCCCGGATGTAGCACATGACAACTCGCCTGGCCCGGGTGTAGCACATGACAACTCTCCTGGCCCGGGTGTACCACATGACAACTCGCCTGACCCGGGTTGTAGCACATGACAACTCCCCTGGCCCAGGTGAAGCACATGACAACTCGCCTGGCCCGGGTGTAGCACATGACAACTCCCCTGACCCAGGTGTAGCACATGACAACTAGCCCGGCCCGGGTGTAGCACATGACAACTCACCTGATCCGGGTTGTAGAACGTGACAACTCACCTGACCCATGTGTAACACATGACAACTCGCCTGACCCGGGTGTAGCACATGACAACTGACCTGATCCGGGTTGTAGCACATGATAACTCACCTGACCCGCGTGTAACACATGATTACTCACCTGACAGGGTGTAGCACATGACAACTCGACTGCCCTGGATGTAGCACATGACAACTCACCTGACATGGTGTAGCACATGACAACTCACCTCACCCGGGTATAACATATGACAACTCGCCTGACCTGGGTGTAACACATGACAACTCACCTGACCCGTTTGTAGCCCTCGACAACTCACCTGGCCCGGGTGTAGCACATGACAACTCACCTGACAAGGTGTAGCACGTAACAACTCCCCTGGCCCGGGTGTAGCACGTGACAACTCACCTGACCAGGTTGTAGCACATGACAACTCACCTGGCCCGGGTGTAGCACATGACAACTCCCCTGACCCGGGTGTAACACATGACAACTAGACTGGACCGGGTGTAGCACATGACAATTCAACTGATCCGGGTTGTAGCACGTGACAACTCACCTGATCTATGTGTAACACATGACAACTCACCTGACATAGTGTAGCACATGACAACTCACCTGGCCCGGGTGTAGCACATGACAACTCAACTGAAAGAGTGTAGCACATGACAACTCACCTGACAGGGTGTAGCACATGACAACTCACCTAGAAGAGTGTAGCACCTAACAACTCACCTCACCCGGGTGTAACACATGACAACCCACCTAACAGGGTGTAGCACATGACAACTCGCCTGACAGAGTGTAGCACATGAGAACTCGCCTGGTCCGGGTGTAACACATGACAACTCGCCTGGGCCGCGTGTAACACATGACAACTCACCTGACAGAGTCCGTGTAGTGTTGACTTGCCCTGGGAGATTGGGTGTCTGCAATGTGACGTCGACGCCGGGTTTAGATAGATATACAGCCACAGTTAGGGCAGGATCAGGGGTATGGTAGGGGAACACAAACACAAATCTTGTTCCATAGACATCTCGGTCACCTGCACAAAGAAATTACTCTTAAATGCAGTTTCCCCAGTGCAACCATGTACATGTCAATTAATCAAGGACAATTAATCATGTTTGATAGACAAACCTGTTCAGTATAAAAAATGCAATCCATTTGAATTTGCGGTTTAGCATGAAGCTCTTTATAGAGAAAATAGCATTTATATCAGCTACGTGTATACCCATGCACTTACCTGACACAATGACAGAGCAGTCCTTCCCAACATAATCTGAAAGGAAAGTGGTTGATACAGTCGCCAAATACAATACGGTGTCTACAATAGCACCTACTCAGAGACACACTCAGAGTGCTATATGGCGGCGGTCTGTGAATCGAGTCTAGACCAGGTTACAGTGGGTGAGATGATGAGCATCGAGCTACAGAGCTCATGTGTAATACGTACAGACTCAGTTGGTGAAACAGCTGATGTGGGATACGTACAGAATCCGTGGGTGAAACTGAGCTGATGTGTAATACGTACAGATTCAGTGGGTGAAACTGAGCTGATGTGTAATACGTACAGACTCAGTGGGTGAAACAGCAGATGTGGTATACGTACAGACTCAGTGGGTGAAACAGAGCGGATGTGTAATACGTACAGATTCAGTGGGTGAAACAGCAGATGTGCAATACGTACAGATTCAGTGGGTGAAACAGCGGTTGTGTAATACGTACAGATTCAGTGGGTGAAACAGCAGATGTGTAATACGTACAGATTCAGTGGGTGAAACTGAGCTGATGTGTAATACGTACAGATTCAGTGGGTGAAACAGCAGATGTGTAATACGTACAGATTCAGTGGGTGAAACTGAGCTGATGTGTAATACGTACAGATTCAGTGGATGAAACAGCAGATGTGTAATACGTACAGACTCAGTGGGTGAAACAGAGCGGATGTGTAATACGTACAGATTCAGTGGGTGAAACAGCAGATATGTAAACCGTACAGATTCAGTGGGTGAAACTGAGCTGATGTGTAATGCGTACAGATTCAGTGGGTGAAACAGCAGACGTGCAATACGTACAGACTCAGTGGGTGAAACTGAGCTGATGTGTAATACGTACAGACTCAGTGGGTGAAACAGAGCTGATGTGTAATACGTACAGATTCAGGGGGTGAAACAGCAGATGTGTAATACGTACAGATTCAGTGGGTGAAACTGAGCTGATGTGTAATACGTACAGATTCAGGGGGTGAAACAGCAGATGTGTAATACGTACAGATTCAGTGGGTGAAACTGAGCTGATGTGTAATACGTACAGACTCAGTGGGTGAAACTGAGCTGATGTGTAATACGTACAGACTCAGTGGGTGAAACAGCAGATGTGGGATACGTACAGACTCAGTGGGTGAAACTGAGCTGATGTGTAATACGTACAGATTTAGTGGGGAAACAGCTGATGTGTAATACGTACAGACTCAGTGGATGAAACAGATCTGAAGTGGGATACGTGCAGAATCAGTTGGTGAAACAGAGCTGATGTGGGATACATACAGACTCAGTGGGTGAAACAGAGCTGATGTGGGATACATACAGACTCAGTGGATGAAACAGATCTGAAGTGGGATGCGTGCAGAGTCTGTGGTTGAAACAGAGCTGATGTGGGATAGATACAGACTCAGTGGGTGAAACAGAGCTGATGTGGGATACATACAGACTCAGTTGGTGAAACAGAGCTGATGTGTAATACGTACAGATTCAGTGGGTGAAACAGAGCTGATGTGTAATACGTACAGATTCAGTGGGTGAAACAGCAGATGTGTAATACGTACAGATTCAGTGGGTGAAACTGAGCTGATGTGTAATACGTACAGATTCAATGGGTGAAACTGAGCAGATGTCAAATACGTACAGATTCAGTGGGTATAACTGAGCTGATGTGTAATACGTACAGATTCAGTGGGGAAACAGCTGATGTGTAATACGTACAGACTCAGTGGATGAAACAGATCTGAAGTGGGATACGTGCAGACACAGTGGGTGAAACAGAGCTGATGTGGGATACATACAGACTCAGTGGGTGAAACAGAGCTGATGTGGGATACATACAGACTCAGTGGGGGAAACAGAGCTGATGTGGGATACATACAGACTCAGTGGGTGAAAACGCTAATGTGGGATACGCACACACTCCGTGGATGAAAAAGGCTGATGTGGGATACGTGCAGACTCAGTTGGAGAGCTGACGTAGCACATACTTAGAGACGCAATCAGAGTGCTATATGTGAATCGGGTCTAGACCAGGCAATCTAGTAATTGAGATAATGAGCATCGATCTACAGAACTGATGTGGGATACGCACAGACTCAGTGGGTTAAAACAGAGCTGATGTGGGATACGTACAGACTCAGTGGGTGAAACAGAGCTGATGTGGGATACGTACAGACTCAGTGGGTGAAACAGCTGATGTGGGATACGTACAGACTCAGTGGGGAAACAGCAGATGTGCGATACGTACAGACTCAGTGTGTTAAAATAGAGCTGATGTGGGATACTTACAGACTCAGTGGGGAAACAGCAGATGTGGGAGACGTACAAACTCAGTGGGGAAACAGAGCTGATGTGTGATACGTACAGACTCAGAGGGTGAGACAGTTGATGTGGGATACTTACAGACTCAGTGGGTTAAAACAGAGCTGATGTGGGATACGTACTAACTGAGCGGGTGAAACAGCTGATGTAGGATACGTACAGACTCAGTGGGTGAAACAGAGCTGATGTGGGAGACGTACAGACTCAGTGGGTGAAACAGAGCTTAGGTGTAATACGTACAGACTCAGTGGGTGAAACAGCTAATGTAGGATACGTTCAGACTCAGTGGGTGAAACAGAGCTGATATGGGATACGTACAGACTCAGTGGGTGAAACAGCAGATGTCGGATACGTACAGACTCAGTGGGTGAAACAGAGCTTAGGTGTAATACATACAGACTCAGTGGGTGAAACAGCTGATGTAGGATACGTACAGACTCAGTGGGTGAAATAGAGGTGATGTGGGATACGTACAGACTCAGTGGGTGAAACAGCAGATGTGGGATACGTACAGTCTCAGTGGGGAAGCAGCAGATGTGCGATACGTACAGTCTCAGTGGGGAAGCAGCAGATGTGGGATACGTACAGACTCAGTGGGGAAACAGCAGATGTCGGATACGTACAGACTCAGTTGGGAAACAGAGCTGATGTGGGATACGTACAGACTCAGTGGGTGAAACAGCTGATGTGGGATACGTACAGACTCAGTGGGTGAAATAGAGGTGATGTGGGATACATACAGACTCAGTGGGTGAAACAGCTGATGTGGGATACGTACAGACTCAGTGGGTGAAATAGAGGTGATGTGGGATACATACAGACTCAGTGGGTGAAACAGAGCTGATGTGGGATACGTACAGACTCAGTGGGTGAAACAGAGCTGATGTGGGATACATACAGACTCAGTGGGTGAAACAGCTGATGTGGGATACGTACAGACTCAGTGGGGAAACAGCAGATGTGCGATACGTACAGACTCAGTGTGTTAAAATAGAGCTGTTGTGGGATACTTACAGACTCAGTGGGGAAACAGCAGATGTGGGAGACGTACAGACTCAATGGGGAAACAGAGCTGATGTGTGATACGTACAGACTCAGAGGGTGAGACAGTTGATGTGGGATACTTACAGACTCAGTGGGTTAAAATAGAGCTGATGTGGGATACGTACTAACTGAGCGAGTGAAACAGTTGATGTGGGATACGTACAGACTCAGTGGGTGAAACAGCTAATGTAGGATACGTACAGACTCAGTGGGTGAAACAGAGCTGATGTGGGATACGTACAGACTCAGTGGGTGAAACAGAGCTTAGGTGTAATACATACAGACTCAGTGGGTGAAACAGCTAATGTAGGATACGTTCAGACTCAGTGGGTGAAACAGAGCTGATGTGGGATACGTACAGACTCAGTGGGTGAAGCAGCAGATGTGGGATACGTACAGACTCAGTGGGTGAAACAGAGCTTAGGTGTAATACATACAGACTCAGTGGGTGAAACAGCTGATGTAGGATACGTACAGACTCAGTGGGTGAAATAGAGGTGATGTGGGATACGTACAGACTCAGTGGGTGAAACAGCAGATGTCGGATACGTACAGTCTCAGTGGGGAAGCAGCAGATGTGGGATACGTACAGACTGAGTGGGTGAAACAGCTGATGTGGGATACGTACAGACTCAGTGGGTGAAACAGCTGATGTGGGATACGTACAGACTCAGTGGGTGAAATAGAGCTGATGTGGGATACATATAGACTCAGTGGGGGAAACAGAGCTGATGTGGGATACATACAGACTCAGTGGGTGAAAACGCTAATGTGGGATACGCACACACTCCGTGGATGAAACAGCTGATGTGGAATACGCACACACTCCGTGGATGAAAAAGGCTGATGTGGGATACGTGCAGACTCAGTTGGAGAGCTGACGCAGCACATACTTAGAGACGCAATCAGAGTGCTATATGTGAATCGGGTCTAGACCAGGCAATCTAGTAATTGAGATAATGAGCATCGATCTACAGAACTGATGTGGGATACGCACAGACTCAGTGGGTTAAAACAGAGCTGATGTGGGATACGTACAGACTCAGTGGGTGGAACAGAGCTGATGTGGGATACATACAGACTCAGTGGGTGAAACAGAGCTGATGTAGGATACGTACAGACTCAGTGGGTGAAACAGAGCTGATGTGGGATACGTACAGACTCAGTGTGTTAAAATAGAGCTGATGTGGGATACTTACAGACTCAGTGGGGAAACAGCAGATGTGGGAGACGTACAGACTCAGTGGGGAAACAGAGCTGATGTGTGATACGTACAGACTCAGAGGGTGAGACAGTTGATGTGGGATACGTACAGACTCAGTGGGTTAAAACAGAGCTGATGTGGGATACGTACTAACTGAGCGGGTGAAACAGTTGATGTGGGATACGTACAGACTCAGTGGGTGAAACAGCTGATGTAGGATACGTACAGACTCAGTGGGTGAAACAGAGCTGATGTGGGATACGTACAGACTCAGTGGGTGAAACAGAGCTGATGTGGGATACATACAGACTCAGTGGGTGAAACAGCTAATGTAGGATACGTTCAGACTCAGTGGGTGAAACAGAGCTGATGTGGGATACGTACAGACTCAGTGGGTGAAACAGAGCTGATGTGTGATACGTACAGACTCAGTGGGTGAAACTGAGC